ATTCACATCACAGGGGAATTGGGTTCAAGCTTATTTGTTTGTCTGAAGGATGGCTTCCCAGTTACTCCAAGACATACTATCAGCCATTGCAATGATATTTGCTACATCACCTCCACTGAGGTCTCTCACAGGAAGATTCGAGATATATTTCTTTGATCTCTTCCTCTTAGTAAATTGCTTCATACATGAGCCATTTTACAGGATACCCTGAAGATGTTCCATGAATTTAATACAAAATACGAGCCTGTGTTCAAAGCTGCATAATGTGTCATAACCTCTGCTTCACTCAGCTAATGGACCTGCAGGAACAGCTTTAAGCTTTGAATCACTGCACTCTACCAGTCCATCACAATCTTCTTCAGATCTCTTGTCCCTCCTGACTACTCCCTTCCCGATGCTGAAGCTGGTGTTCTGCATCTTTTCTTGCACGGGCTGCTGTCTAGTGGCACTGTATCTGGGGAAGAACTCTTTGGGCACTTTCTCTAGCTGATGCTTGATACCTGGGCATCTTTTCCTATTCCTCACCTGTGCAGAGCATTTCCCAGTCTGGCAGAAGTTGTGCAGTCTCCTGCTGCATCCCCAATGTCTCCACTTCCCACAGATCCAGAGGAAAACACTGAAGCAGTCCTCTGAAGCAGGTTGGACATGCTTCTTTGCACCAAGGGAAAAAAAGCAGAGCAAAAAGAGAAGAAAACTACAGGAGAGACAGTACAAGCTCTGCACAAACAGCTTCTCCTGAATGCCTGTGCTAAGCGTGTGTACTGGCTGATGGGTTGCACACTCATTGCACCTACTTTTGTTTTAAAGCAGAAAGAGGATAAGGCAGTTGTAACCAGTTATTTATTGTACAGAAAGACATTGCAGGATGATCTGTGCTCTCCTAACAGAAGTAGCTTGTGAGTTTTGGCCCTTTGCTACTGATCCTGGAAGCCCCTACTCCATGTGTGGGAGTTACTTCTCTTGTGCTGTGTTTCCCCATGATGCAGGAGCAGCACAGCCCCAGCTCCCATACCTGTAGCTCACTGGCCCAGCTCTACCTCCCCTGGACCTGGTGACACGCAAGGCTTTGATGGGAGACATGGCACCCCGTGAGGTCTGAATCCTTGTGTATGCAGTCTATGGGCATTAGTACAAAGGTGCAGGGGAGCACACCAATTTGGGCAGCTCTTGCATAGGTGCAGTACAAGCTGTCCCAGCTGTTGGTGGCACCACAGGGATAAACTCTGGTATTCGAGTGTCTTACAGGTGTGTTTGCAGTCTTGGATCAGTGCTGGCACCCCTTGCTCAGACAGATGCTTTGCAAACACCTAAGGGTACTAATGTGGTACATGGACTTTCTGTGAATTAGCTCTTACGTAGGTAATCAGGGGTGAATTGTTCATTTATTTTTCCCTGCTGCTATTAAGGCTACACTCCGTATCTGACAAAATTTTGTATATGCTTCCTCCAGCCACAGTCGCTGCGGCAGACTGGGACTGTTTCATGGCAGCTCTGGAAAATAAGCTTTTATTCTTTCCAAATTACTTCATAAGAAGAGGCATCAGGTTTCTTGTGGCCCTGTAATCATGTCAGGGCTGAGGCAAAAAGCAGAAGTTATGTTTGTCTGATGCCCCTGCACCCAGAAAATATGTCCTTTTCCAGAGCATGCAGCTTCTTCATCTCAAATAGAGAGGGGTTCAGGGCAAGCTTTCTCCCTGGAAGCCAGGGCAGACCTTTGGCTGGGTTTTCTGGTGCTTCCTCCCACCCAGCTGGTGCAGCCACATTTAAATGCATTGCCTAGCACTGTAAATCCCACCCAGGAACTGCTCTTGAGCATGGTCCTGCAGTTTTCTTCAGTCAAAACATGTTTACATGCTGATTTACTGAGATCACAGCAACCGCACTACCCCATCTGCACCCTGCCTAGCCAAATTATAATGCTGTGTTCTGGCGGGTTAAACATCTGATGTGTTTTAAAATAAAGGGATGGCCAGCCAAGCAGTGGTCAGTGCAGAAAGCTGCCTGGGACAGGGGGTGGGTTTGCATGGCCAGTGCCTTGCCTGGTGTCCCAAGCTAGGGCATGCCAAACAGCCCCCCTCCTGGGGCAATGAGCTGCTCCTCTGATCACTGGCAGTTGGCTGTGCTGGAGGTGAATGGGGACAATTCTGAGGCTCCCCAGAAAGGCTTTTGACTGGTGTTCTGTGTGCCACTCCCCTGCTTCACTACAGGCTGTCTGGATAACCCTGCAGCATGTTGCTTCCTGGGCAGAAATCTGGAAGAGCCTTGCTCAGGTGGTTTTGGGGCAGAGAGCATCCACAAATGTCTTGCACAGTCTCACCTGCCAGAAACATCCATTGTTATTTCTCCTGCATCCCCACCAGAGCAGCGTGGTCTTCCTTTCATCCATCCCACATCCACTGTAGGGACCAGAAGCCTTTTCATACATTGCACAATACTGACCAAAAGACTCTCCCTCTTGCAGCAGAGGCATCATGATGTTTCTGCAGCATCAGCAATGATTCCAGCTAGCTCCAGGGTGAAGCTAAAGCCATTTTTCATTTTGACAAGATAGCCTCTACTGCCCAGGGGCTCCAAAACTCCAGGTGTGCATTCAAAACATCACTCTATCCACTTCAGTGATGTCTCAGTAAGAAGTGTTTCATTCTTACCCTGGGCTGTGTCAAAATGATGGGCTGACCAAAAGTTTTGGCTGCAAATTTCTTAGCACCTGTAGTCTTCACAGACACTCAGAGCAGCTTAACCCTCCTGGGAGGCTGTCCTTGAAAGAAAGTGATATATCGTGCTGTTAAAAGAAAGTTATCTGAGACACGGGATAAGACAACCTGTGTGAAAAGAGGGGTAAGAAAGAGAGGCCACCCCATGTCTAAGCCAAGGTCCTTTGCTCTACTCCAACGACTCCTCACGCTGGATGTGCCCTCTGTGGGACTATACATGAGCAGAGCCAGTATTGTAGAGATGGGAGAGAGGATTTTTTAACCATGTGAAGGCTTATTTCCTGGACTAGGCAGTAGAAGCTTCTTTGCTCCATCTGTACCGAGCTGAAGACTGTGGTTAATCACACTTCATTACAAGCTGAAGCAAAGCAGCACCAAACAGTTTGCAAGCAGCTGGTCGGCAAAGAGGAGAGGCCATAGAGGGAGGAAGTGTGTTTCATAAATGTGGGTAAGGACTATACATTATAAGCATGCTGGGAATAAAAACAAGCTTGTACCAGTGAATAGTGCGCCTCAAATTTCAGACCAGTTCCTGTGGGCCCACTTAAAGCTTATTCCAGTTTTTGAGAAGTCACTGGTTCCAGCAATATCCCCAATGTTTAGGAGCGAGGAATGTTTCCAGACCCTTTAGAGCCATGCCTCCAGAAATACAATGGAATTATTAAGTGCATTTAGCGTTCCTATTTATCGTTAAAGGCATGATGTCTCAGCTTGTCTGTTGAGTTGCTTTTTCTTGTGCAACACTCATAAATTCAAAAAAGGGAGAGAAAAAATGGCCAGAGCACTGCTTTTTATACTTAACAGGGGTTGTTCGAGCCACTTGGTCTTGGGCACACCTGGCTGCTACACTGTCCCTTACTGACATCTATGCAGAGGTCTTATTAGCACCATGCTGATGGATGGGCTGTCTGCGAAGGGAAGCATGATACAGCCTACAGATATCCTTGTTAGAACAAAGCAGAAAACTTTTGACATTGTTTATGTCTTTTTCTAATAAAATGAAAACATTTTACTTGTTTTTGAGCCAGAATGACAAAACAAAACAACTTTTTTATTTACATTTCATATTTCTAGGGGAGGGGAGCATTCAGCTGAAAACCGGTGTGTTTCAGCCATGGGGAAAATTGCCTTCCTACCGTCTCTCCTTTTTTTATTGGAACAAATAGACACATAGGAAAAATGTGAGCCAACTTCTTTTTTTGCTAATACTATAAAATAGGGAGCAAAGCCCGCTTCCCCTCATTTTCCTTTACTTCTTTATTCTGTCCTCTCTTTGCCAATTGGAAACAGAACGCAGAGAGTTACTTTGTCTCTGGAAACAGCTCTTGCAGGGCTTAACTGTGTTTTCAATGCTTTCCAAATAGAAGAGCTTTTTGGAACCTACATGGTCTTCCTGAAGGTTTAGGGGGGAGGTCTGAGAAAATAAATTCGTATCTTCTTCTGTCAAGCTTGTTTGGCGAGGGGAAGAATTGGGTCTCCCCAATATTCACAGGGGAAATTATATTGGCAATTTCCCTGCTGACTAATCAATATAATATGAATAAAAAAAGCTAAAACTGCCTGCCCTTCTCCTGTGTTTTCTTCTCCAACACTACTGTCAGCCTTCCTCTCTCATGAACAACCAATCCTTCTGAGAGTTTTTTGTTGTCTGCATAGCATAGGCAGCTAGGTGCAGAGGTGGTGGAAGGTGTATGTCCTTCTCATGACACTGTTAAACTCCAAAGCAAACAGAGTTTCTCAATTCAGGAGAAGACATCCTTCATTAGTGACACTGTAGATGCAGATATTGTTTCTCTAAATCAGTAGCAGAAAGACAAACAGAATTGAAAAGCAGGTCTGTAGCGAGAGAGCAAGAGAATAGGCTTCACGAGTACTTCAGCTGTAATGATAAAGATCCTTGCTCAACATCAGAAGAAATTTCCAATGCCATGCCATATGTTGCTCTCCTTCTTTTACAGAATAAAGATTGAGTATTAAATGAGATATAGCAAGGAATAATTGATTAGAGTTGTTGCTCTGGAAAAGATTAGGAGAGCATTTGGTTTTCAGTTTGAAAATAAAATTAAAAAGTCATAAGCCTTGAAGGAACTTTCCAATGTGGTTTTCATCTGGCTTGGCAGGTTTCTTCTGGAGAACAGAAAGCTGAAAGAAGATAGGAATTAGGAAAACATGCTGCGACCCGGATAGAAATTCTTCAGCAAAAAGGGAAATGCAGAAGAAAAACAATATGTAATGAAAGCCAAAAATATTCTTTAAACATGTCTGTCTGTCTCATTTCTTCTGCAGGGCCAAATATTTCCAGGGGAAGAAGGTGAATGGAGAATTTGATATCCGAGTGGAACAGGTCAGTGACAAATGAATTTAGCTCTAAGAAATGTGTGTGGACAGGGCTGAGGTTTTAATGACAGATAATATGTGGATATTTCTTCTTTTGTAGAAAGGAACTAATGAGGAGTTTTAAGACATGTCCATTTTATAGAATTGTGGAAGCTATAAACGAAAATGCCTTATTGGGCCATCCTTTCGTCCTCCCTACCTTTGCAGAATCAGTTGCTATTTCACCTTAAAATGAAATTTTCTGTTCTGGTGATGGGCTTACAATTTCTTCCATTGGAACACTAGATCACAGCTCTGTATATATGCCTGAAAAGGTGCAAAGCCCTTATGCCACAGTACATGTTGGTGATGTTATGTTCGACATGCGAGCCATACAAGTCTTCTGACTTACCCTGATTTAAGCCTAAAACCTTTGGTTTAAGTACGCAAAATAACTACATATGGCAAAATATTTTTATCTGTTGAAAGCCCATAGGAACAGTAAGGAGGTTCATGGCCTGTTTTCTGATCTGCTCTGCCAGGTATTGGACAATTTATCTGTTTCTCTGTTAGCCTTGGCACCAGCCATTCATTTCAGTTGAAAACTCTTCATGGTGGGGTCTGTCCCCTGCTCTCTGTGTTGGTGCAGTGCCTGTCAAACTGAAGTCCCAGTATTGATTGAGACTTTGAATGCAGTTGTCAAAGTAGAAATGATTATTAGTAATCATCTGCAGGCACCTAACCTGAAAGCAGGCGTAAGAAGAGAGAGATGTAGAAACGAGATGGTGATCCTGAAGAAAATGTTTTGCACTCACTAGGGCTATAAAACTGCTTGGATGGATAAAGCAAGCTGGTGAATGTTGTTTGAATGACCTGATATTTTCCGTCTTTATAAAGCTGTTGATTCTACATCGTGTGCACGTTTGCACACATACGTGTTTGTGTATAGAAATATTAACATAGTGGTTTTGAAGACTTTCTCAGGACCCCTTGCCCTTGATAAGGTGTTCCTTCTCTTTTAAAAGGGGTGCTGTCCAGTTGCCTAGGATTACACATGAACACACATGTTCTGATCAAAGGCTGTGCCTGGGACAGACAAGTTAGCACGTCATTTTTTGGCAACTATGATACTATGAATATTTCATTTTCCTCTTTTTACTAGTATTGCACTTGTCAGTACTGGGTGGTATTAGCAAGAACAATTGTCACTTACACTTCCTTATCAAAGTCTTTATTTTGCTGGCTGCCTCAGTAAATGTCCTAAAAGAGAATAGGAAAAAAAAATTTAAAATCACACTTCTCACATAGAAGCAAGAAATCAAATAATAATTCAGATTTTACATTCAAACCTCTGATCCAACCTGCTCTGCTGCTCAAAGCAGGGTCAGCTTCAAAGCTAGACCTGGTACTCTTCAAAATGACCTCTTAATTCTTTCCTAAAACTCCACCCTCTGCCTTTCCCCTCATAATCCTTCTCCTCAAATGTTACTGCACTTGAGATCCTTACAAAGGAACTATCTTCAAATGGTTGGTGAGTGGAGGAGGGCAGAAGTGGACTCTTGATCCCTGATGGGTTAAACCTGGTAACGACCCTCGTCATCATCCCTGGATAGCTTATCGCATTTCCCCAAGGACTCTTTCAGGGAGACTTTCCCAGTCTGTCTCTTGAAATCCTTCACATAGGCTGAATGTCCATGTTTGAGACGAGGCACCAAATTGCTCCAAGCAAAGACTGTAAGGCTGGTGTGACTCTGCTGGAGAGGACAACTGCCAGGCCCCTTGCAGCCTTCTTTAAATACCCAGCACAGTGACTGCAGCGTTGCCCAAGGGAACGAAGCATGCAGTGGGTAGGAGAGTTGAGGAACAATGAACAAGGGCCCCGGCTGCTTCCCCTCACCCCCTCCCTGCCCCTCAGATCAGGCAGCCAAGCCTCCACTTAGCGGGCAGGGAACTGCTCTTGACTCTCTCAGACCTCGGAAGCAAAAGGCATGATCACTTTCCCCAGCTGGATCACTGTCTGTCAAGGGTAACACAAGCTGCATTGTCACAGGCAGTCCCCGAATCTGACCTCAGGCCCCTCTGCATATCGTTGAGGCCAAGAGAGGGGCACTTCTTTCTTCAAACTCTGGCTTTTTGTCCCCTTCTTTTTTTGCCCATCCATCCTTGCTCAGTATTTTTTTATATTTAATTTTCATTCATTGCTCCTACCCTGATTATCTGGAGCCTTCCTCTTTTCTTCACCCTATTCCTCAAGCACAATCCAGGAGCTGAAACTGTTATGAAACAGGTCCCTTGAGGCTGAACGCAGTCCCTCTCAACCAGAAAAACAAATTTTCTTCCACAGTCTCCTTATGGGAGAAAAAAACACAGGGAATAACTGTGTTTACCAGCCTGGTCCACACCTTTCTCTTTTGAGTTCCCAGCTCACCAGTCTTCACTACTATAACTGTCCCATGAAAGGCACACAGACTGTGCCATGGTGCACAAGCCCTAACCTGGCTGTTCAGTTCTGAATAAACTCTGCATCAGATCATGGTTTGACTCTCGGGCACCTCTTGAGCCACTTCGTCTGCTCAGTAAGTTCATTTACTTTTTCAGTTTTCCATTTGATCCTGCTTCAGATAACCACACATTATTGACTCAGCCAGAAATACAGTTTGCCATAGGAAATTTTTTTATATTTTATAGGAAAAACACTTTTGATCTCAAAAGCTAAATAACAAAAAAGTTTGAATGGCAGAAAGCAGTGAAAGGAAATATCCAAATGTTAAATACTCTTGAAAAACCACATTGGGAAAAAGCAACTGCCCTATTTTTTTCTGACAGAGCTAATTTTTTTGCCATTCTTCCAGGATGCTCTGTAGTTGGTTTAAACTGAAGGATTTGCTTTTTCTCTTCCTTTTTCATCTCCATCTCCATTACATCTTAATTCTTTCTTGAAAGCCATTTCAGCAATCTGGGGGAAGCAGAGCAGGATAGTAGGTGATATTTTTTTTAAAGTCATGACATCACTTATTTGTAATGGAGCACGAGTGCTGAAAGCAGCACTGTCTCTCCCTTTCTCAGCAGCGGGAAGTCAGTTATCTAATCTGGTTATACACCCCTACCAGCTCTCTGAGCTGCCTCTCCCCCTTGGCTGTTGTCCGAGGAATGCAAGACGTATGTGATCATGCTGTCTCACTCCGTCTATGCCCCACACCCAACACTGTGGAAGGCATCGCCTGATTTCAGCTGAATTGGAGAAACAGGCAGAAGTTTCAAGATACTAAGTCTCTACAAGAGGTGAATTCAGTTTGTATTAGACACTGGATAATCTGCAGGGAAGGGACTGTTAAATGCCATCCTGCTGCTCAGGGAGCTGCTTCTGTAAGTCTCAGCTTATATGAAAATAGGCTTTATAGACTCTCAAAGAAGGTTTTCTGCTTCTTTAGCACAGAAATTATTTGCATGACCTCGATACCACCCCCAGGCCCTTGTTCTTCGTCTAGGTCCAATACAACTAGCAAGAGACAAGATGCTGTGGGCACATCCTGGTGCCAGTGAATAGGAGAGAGTTGTCAGGGACACTGCGGTGGGTACACCCTCTCCAGCCTCCGCTGTCTCCTGTCATTCACTAAAATGAACATGAGGCCTGACTTTGTTTCCACCTTTGTTTCTTCTCTTCAGCTTAACACCCAAAACATATCTCTTAATGTGCTTTAGAGGCTGTGGGATTTATTATCGCCCACCCTTGACTGAAATCCAGGCACACAGCACCATTGCCTTCTCCCTGCTGGCTGCAGGGGGAGAGGCACGGGGCTGAGTGAGGGCTGGGATGGTAGGAAGCAAGTGCAACTGCTCTCCTGAATCTGGGCCCCTTTTTCTCTGGAGGCAGTTTGGATTACATTTTGATTATTCCACTACAAGTCCTTCTGTGGCAATGATAGTCATTCATAAAACTGAATGAAACACTGATCAAAAAGTGAAAATCTGTTTGACCTATTCCCTTCAAAACCCTGATGGTTTAAGTTTTACTCAGTGTGGATAAACCCCTAAGCTTTAAGGAGCACCTGAGTCTAAAAATACTATCACTATTTTGTGCTAAAAATGTTCTTAGGTTTTGATCCATGTTGTTGCTTTTACTTGCCTTGTGATTTCTAGCTTTGAGAACTGCAGTGTATACGTCTCCAAGTCTTTTCTCTAGAAATACAAATGCCAGAGAAATTGTTTTAGAAATGAAAAGTATAAATTTGATTAAATGGCTCTAAGGCTAAGTTGAGCTTAAAGAAGAATCTTAAAGTGCCACAGGAGTTGACCACATTGCTTTTAGTCTCTCCCAAAATTGTGCTTTTATCTTCTCAGTCCTCCACTGACCAGAAGACAACAGGCATTAGGAAACACAGTATATTCAGGAAAAGGAGGAATGATACCATAGGCCTTATGCTCTGTCAAATATTTTCCATCACTGGAGGAAACTGGTAGTAATTCAGCACCTCCTTCCCCACCATCTCTGCCCTGTCCCAGAGAAAACTAAGCCTTGCATGCTCTAAGGATTTCATATGACTCTGGGGTTTCACATATGGATCATAACATACCCCAGATGGGGGTCTCCTTGGCTGTTAGGCATGCCCAATGTACAAGGGGGATGACACATGGCTGTGCATCCCCAGCACACCCAGGTACAAGCAGAAGAGGGCAGGAGACCCAGGGCTGAGGCACGGACAACCACAGACTCATTGGACAGACCGTGGCACCGTGGGCAGTGGCTAGCTGAGTGGGACACTTGCCACCTGTCTGGGAGAGAGATGCCCACAAAGCAGGAGGTGTGCAGAGTGGGGTCACTGGGATGACCATGGAGACCTGATTTATGAGAGGAGGCTGAAAGAGCTGAGTTTGTTTATCCTGCCAAAACAGAGGCTAAAGGAGACACGGCTGCTTTTCATAAATACACTGGTTTAAGAAAGGGGTTTGTGACATGGTACCTGCAGTAGCAAGAGGTTAGACCCTATGGCTCTGCTGGGCTTTTCCAGTCCTGTGCCCTGTGTTGAC